GTTTTAGTCATTAAGGACCGATTATGCAACTATAAAGAAATGTTTGTGAGCAACTTGCTTATTTTAGATGTTGAGGACCAACTAGCTAAAAGGGCATTATGTTGGGGACCAGTGGTGCTATTTTCCTAACTATGATGTTACCGTCAATATAATTTTCATGTTTAAAAATTTTTGAAATCACGTCAAAGATAATGACATTAATAATGCTTATTATTACCTCAGATAAACTGAACATTGCCTTACATTTCTAGGATTGATTAGAGTAAGGGTTATTATATACCTGTCATTACATATTCTGGAGCAGCATAACCATATGTGCCAACGACTCTTGTTGAAACATGTGTTTTGTCACCTTGAGGACCAGCTTTTGCCAAACCAAAATCTGAAAGCTTTGCGTTGTACTCCTGGAAATTATATGGATTATGTTAAGCAGTTGCAACACATTAAACAGTATGATTTGACATTTTCTTCAATCACATACCGTATCGAGCAAAATGTTTGACGTCTTGAAATCTCTGTAAATGACAGGTTCAGTTCCTCCGTGGAGAAAGGCTAATCCTTTGGCCGCTCCAAGTGCAATTTTTATCCTGTTGGACCAAGGAAGAGGTATGGTCCCTTCAATATTTTTAACGTCATCAGTACTTGTTCATTTAAACAAATCACAACAGTAAACTAAGCATAAGACTACTGGATGTTTTACTTCTAATCCAGAAAATTAATACAAGTGGAGATATATTGTATAATGTATATATAATCATCACTTGATCATGAGTGGATATTCTAATGCGTACTTGTTCAATCATTAATGCATTGTAGTTCACTGCTTCAAAATTTAGGCTTCCGTAAGTCAATAAGTAAAGATCGACCAAGTAACACGAGTCATCCAACTAAACAATGAATTTAGTACCTAGTACTTTACATTTGTGAGTTTGTTGTTATTCAAGGTTTGTTTCAGAGTCGGGAAAATTGTCACTAGGTGTACTATGTCCAACTAAAAAAAAACCTGCATCTCAAGTCATTCAGTTAAATTCTTTTCTATACAATTTGTGGGATATATTCTCTGAGATGAGTAAAAGAAAGTTCAAGTCCCTGCTAGAAAGTTATTTTCAAAGCAATGGTACATATGTTTCCACTCACTTCTGAAAAGATGATTTTCAAGGCTTCCACGGGTCATAAATTCGTAAACCAGTAGCCTTTGGTCATCTTCAATGCAATATCCAATTAGCTTAACCAGATTAGAGTGATGAAGCTGTCCAAGAAAGTCGACTTCAGCCTGCATTTTGGGAAATATATTAGTTGTAGGATATGCCGTTTATGACCTCCAACCTTCAGTTCGACATTCTATTACTAACCACGAACACATAATCTACTAACCACCCATTCTCTATGGCCTTGAACACCATCTGGCTTCAAACTCTTGACTGCAACTGTGGTCCCCGACCCAGGTTTCGCAGGTGCTGTACCATTCTCCTCAATCCATCCTTTGAAGACGTATCCAAATCCACCCTCGCCGAGAATGCTATCCGGTCTAAAATTTCCGGTTGCTGACTTTAGCTCCTGGAAAGAAAATTGCAGCAGTTGGCGGGGTGCATCTTTTTCTGCTGGTAGTGGATTTGATTTGGGATCTTCAGATGAGCTTCGTGCTTCATCTGGAGCACACATTCCCCGGTTGCTGGCATTGAGGTATCTTGTCTCTGTAACTGTATAAACAGAACCAAATGTTATGGATTGAGCCTAATCTTAAAACCACAAGAAACAATGATTGCATATACAGAAACATCGAAATTTTTAGTAGTTAACTAAAACTGGGAGCTACTTCAACTCACTCCTCAATCACTAAAACCGAATAGAATTTTACAATGAGATCTTACACCACTGTCTTTTACCTCTTGAACCACACAAAAGATAGTCCCCTCAAACTCGTTTATATAGTGCAGGACTCTAGAGCAAGCTAATACAAAGACATCAACCTCCATATATCCATATAATAAAAAAATTTGCTCCGAACTTCGATCTACAATTGATAGCATAAATGAGCAGTATAATAGGAGATCAAGAACACAGTTCCTGGGAAGTCAAGATATCATTGAAGGCGCTTATTAAAGTCAACCATGATTATGTATATTATGTGGGAAAGAAGTAAAAAGTAAGCTAAGCACAGGACTCAGTGCAAAACTGCAACCCATTACATAGAGCAATTCAAGATTTTGAAAGCTAGAAAACTTCACAGAAACTGTACAGTAAGTACTCAAATTCAAGGTAATTTCTGATTAGAAACTTCACAATTCTGCCTATGCATATGTTACACAATTGGGTTCAGAAATTCATGGATGAAAAAACTGAAAAGATCATAGCAATATAAGTACCTGCATCATAAACAAGACTACTTTTAGGGATTGAGTTTGCAGAATTTCTTGAATCAGAGGGTTTACAGTTACCACTAACACTGCGTCTTAAAATAGCCCAACACCCACACTTCTCTTCCATCGCCATTCGCCTATCTTAATGGATTTGCCTTTCATTGGCTGTCCCTGTAATTGATTTCCATTTACAGAGAGAGCTAATGAACAAAAAAATTTATCATAATTTTTAGAGAGAAAAACAGAGAGATATAGAGAGAGAAGGGAATTGGGTGTTGTAAAAAGATTGATTGTAAGCATCATCATCATCACTATCACCATCATGGCATTGGATACAAAAAGAATTTTTTCTCCCACTACTTTTTTCCTGTGGGGGAATGCCATTCTCTCTCTACTTCTTGAAACTGCTTAAATTCTGGTACGAGAAATTTACTAGAAGGGACATTGATAGGATTCTTGGCCGAATTAAAATCATATTTTTAGTAAATTTGGATAGAAGTTGATAAAATGTGTAATTGAAAGATGGTAAAATTCATAAAATATGAGATTGAAATAAATTATTGATTTTAATTTAGATTTTAATCGATATCAAAAATGGTCGAAAGCATGAATATCTAGTAAAAGTATATTTTATTCAGGATTTGCTTATTTTGACGGCCGCTCGTTTCGAATAATTAAAAAGTTGTTAAAAAGTTAAATTTATAGATAATAATTAATTGTAATTACATAAAATTCATAATTTTTATCAATTTTTTAACCCCCATTTTCTTCAACTTTTATAAGTATTTGCTAAAACATCTATCAAAATCTTGTCTCATCTCTCAAAAATCCCTAACACGGATATGGGACTGGGAGTGTCTAGCTAATGTTGGTTAAGCTTTTTTTCCCCCCTTTTTTTATTAGTGGGTGAGATTTTTTTTTTACCATATCAAACTTTAATGAATTTAATAATTTATGTAGAATCAAACTAGCCAATTCAGTTTAGTTTTAATTAAAATTTAAATGATTTCAGTACTAAGAGCGGAGAACGAAAAGGCCGTGATTTGGTTCTTAGCTTTACTTACAATTCAAAGTGTTAATTCATTTTAGGAAAATGTTTGGTGTACAGAAAAGATTCTTACAGAAAATTTACAGATATCTCACAAAGTGTGAATCCCGCATAAATAAATAATGTCAAAAAATCTACCCACCCACCTTACCCATGTGAGGTATTTGTAGGGGTTCTGCGAATCCCTACATGGTACACCAATCACTGCCTTCATTTTATCGTTTGAAAGTAAAATTTTACATACTAGTTTACATTGTACCCTTTTATTTTTATTTTTATTTTTATTATTATTATTATTTTTTTTTTGGGGTGAAGATAAAAAAAGCATATTGTGTTAGAAACGGTCCTTTTCTTGTTATGTTCGACACCATTGTATAGGGAATTCTTTGATTTTGTGGAAAATTATGAGTATAATTCTCATTCGAATTCAATCGTACCTTTTCCACCCTCTTTTCGAAGTATCAATATAAGTTTGAGGTAAGTAGATTTTTTTGTTGATCAAGAATGATTAAAAAAAATTACTTCTACAAGTATAAATAACTTATAAGCTAAACTAAACATGATATCAAATCTCCCACTTCGTATGTAACTGTTAGAAAAGTTTGCCATTTCTCGCTTTTTGCAAAAGAGAAATCCCTATAGTAAGATTTGTTTGATAAATTGGTACTAATTAGATGCCTATTTCAATCAAAAATATGCTTCCGTAAAAACATTGCTTTAATACTTTAAATTATAGAGAATTAAACAAGATAACGAACAAATACCTATTGTGAATAACATAAAAACTTAATCAATGGATATAAGGATATAAATTGAAAATTCTACTAATTAAAAAATTTCTATCGTCGGATAGAGTAGTCACTAAGTATAGATAAACGTAATACGAGGCCTTGAAGTATAAACATTCAAATTTCACATCAAATATGCTCTTAAACATAATCGTAGTTTAATTTTCTCGCTTTACAACATTTTAAATAAAATAATGTTTATCTAGCAACGCTAAAATTTAACACCAGTCTATGTATCAACACATGATAAATTCAGTTAGACAAAAGGATATAGGTCACGTATAATTGATGTTATCACAAATTAATACTTAATTTGGTACTAAATACAATTGATGCGCGTCGATAGCATTACTCTTTTTAAGTATCAGAGTGTTTTGGAGAGGACTCGTCGCCTATGCAAGCAATGTTTGACCCACATGACCAACTAAATACAACTAAAATGGAAAAAGTTAAAACCGTTCTATGTTTTAGATGCGTTCTTTTATCGTAACTAATAAGTTGGGAGGGAATAGCCAAAAAAAAAAAAGTGAATTATATAAGCTTCTGGAAGGTTAGCAAGCATGCAATTGGGTAATTTAGAGATTTGTTAAGCTCATTGATTGATGTTGGAAAGAAGTAAAGGCAAAAAGAATAATTTTTGGTCATGTCTCTCCGGCATAATAATTAATTATCATCAATTTCTCTATTATTAGAATCGAATTGATGTTGTCTTCAATTATTAGAAATTCAAAATCCCCGCCTTCTTTATACAATAATTATAAAGAAATTGTTATAAAATTGTAACCGGAAATTCGCCGTAATAATATGATATTTTTGCCAGTAAAAAATATTTATAGATTATATAACAAATTATTAAATATTAAGAAACCAACGCAAGCCTACAAAATTTCTAATAAAAAGGTATTTATATCTTCTATAAAATATTTTTTAATGTAAATTGCACTTGTTGATATACATATGTGATAAAAACAAATACAATTAAATAAAGAAAAAATGTTAAACGGCCAAAGAGAATATTATGTTGATATGTAAAGAACGTATGCAAAAACTATTTTTCAGTTATATTTCATTTAGATTCACTTTTAAAATATTAAAATTATAACATATATGGAATATGATATTTAATAGTTTAAAATATAATTTATTTACAACAATTTTAAGCATGCGTACTTTTAAATTGTTTTGTGAATATTTAACAATTTTAAATTGTATTTACATAAAATAATATTTTGGTAAATTATATACACACCAAAGTTTTTGTTTGTTACCTTCCATTTTTAATTGCAATGAAGGTCTTCAATTTTTATTTGTTGTCTTACTTATGTGTCTAACTTTTTTATCTCTTTCTTAAACTCAAATTTCTAATAACGAGTCCATCTTGTCATCGATGACGATTTTCATCTAAAAAGTCCATTAGTAGGGCATAAAAAGACTTATTTGTTCCTCAGATTTTTAAATAAGTAAAAAATTTAAATACAAAAGTTAAATAAAATCTTTGTCACTCATTTCAAAGCATGTTAATAGTTTATTTGGACAGAAATCGTCAATAAAAAAGGATATACTTGTTATTATTAAAGATAAGAAATGTAGCTAACAAAAGTTGGGGGACATAAGTTTCATTGTAACTAAAATATGAAGCGGTAAAATTTGTTGTGTGAATATAATTACCTATTGTGATAATGGATAATAAAACACAAGAAATTAGTAATTAATTAATTTAGGTTGACTAATATCTAAATATTAAAGTATTAAAATCTTTAACAATTAAAATTAGTTTTCAATATTTTATTATTTTTAAATATTAGAATTATGAGATGAATACTAATTGGGAAATTTTCACCCACAGTCCCTAAACATTACCAATTATCTCACTTGGATTGCCATTCATTTTTTCTTTGTATTTAGGTCCCCAAATATCTTTTTGGTGCATGTACGGACAACTAGACAAAAAAAAATGTGTTCAATTTTTCATCAAATAGTTAGTTGAAAGACGTGCCCAATTCTTCCGAAAGTATTTCTATCTATTCATAACTTAAATTCTTCATTCTTTCAATTGACTATTTGACAAAAGTTGAACGATATCCGTCCACTTGTCCTTTCGTGTGCCCATGCAGCAATTTCCATGTACTACTACCCATATTTGTATGGTCAAAAGACTCGAAAAAACAAGTGGAAATACGTCTGGGGAATATTTATATCATTGCCATCCCATCAACTCTCTCTCTCTGCGAAAATATTCCCCCATGGCTAGAAAAAAGGCTTCCTTTAAGGGATCTAAATGGACAAAAAGAGGGTAGGGGTGGGGTTGCGGGAGGGGTCATTTCTTCAACCACCATTAAAAAAAATTGTATTCTGTGGTACAAATGTGTGAAGAAAAGCAATGAAAGATTCTATATATATTCTTTTTTTGTAACACAGTGTTTTGCAACTTGAAATAATGCCTTGTTTGTTGGTATGGAATGATACCAATTTCCACCCACTGCGTTGTGGGGGTCCTGCTTCTGCCATAGGTCCACACATAGAGGCGGAAAAGGAGAAGTGAAAACACCTATTAGTGTGTAAATTGTATTCCACTTATATATCCTATATTTGTGGGAATAAAGTTACCAACCCTTATTATTAGTGGGTAATATTCCATGAACTTGGTTGGCCATGGGCGTCCTCTTACCATACTTGAGCCAAGGGGTGGTAATGGCCCATGCATTATGGCAGTCGTCAACTCAATGAGCCAGTTCTTGAGAACTCCGTTTACAGGCAACTCAACTCGTACCACTACTACAAAATTGTTGATCGAGCCGACAAGTAAAGTACTTATTAGCATCACCAGCTGGCCCATGAGCTAACTTATTTTTCACATTCTCTTATTTAGTTCAACTTCCTCGTTTTTTCATTCATAGTTGATTGCTTTCTACATTTTTGTTTAAATTCTGTCTAAAAGGAAAATAAAGAAATTCTCAAATTAGCACCATTCCTCACAAATAGGGCCTATGGGTCGGGTCAAGCTTGCCCCATTGTTCCACGGGCGATGCCTAGGCGGCATGAGCTGGATCTACTTGACCAGTTGTCACCTCCTACTTAAGCCTATTTACATGGACCAATTGTATAGTCTTTCTTTTTCGTTTTTTTTTTTTTTTGGTTGCCGGTGTTTTTATATTCTCTGATGATTTAGGTACATAATCACAAGTACAATGCACTCAATGCATATTTATGATCAAGCAATGAACAAAATTTTCCAAATTAAATGAAAGGTTCTAAATAGTACATTAGGCACGACTTTACTATGAACTATATATAGAGTTCATATATAACCATTCATATCACATTAGACCATTATATATGTATATTGTATGGTTTCAATGCTCGAGATACGCAAGAAGTGTGCCTACACCAATATATTTAATGATCATGTGTTCACACTAAGATGTTACATTTCAAGTAATATGTCTGCAACAAATTATGCTAAGGCTCTGTTGGAGTATCCAGATGATTGCCCCCTTTTTTGTTGGGTGAAGGTACACGTTATCTATATAATATGTAT